TCTTTCTCTCCTGTGATCAGAGTGCGAGGTGATATTACAAATCGGATTCAATTATTTGTTGGGTGTCCTGATCTTTTTCTTCTTGCAAAGTGTTCACCAGCTTCTTGAGAAGGGCCATGTTCTTGCTGCCGCTCCTTTGGGCTAGAGCGAAAAGAGAGGGATTCTCAAGAAAACCGAACCTGGCCGGCCTGGCATCAAAGTTACGGCGGCTGCGGTCCATGACGTGCGACATCAGGGCCCGGTGGAGGTCCCCCTCGGTTTTCGCCCAAGCCTGCCCGAGAAACACCGAATGTGCAGGCTTGGCGGCTTGGCGTGAACAACTTCCTGCCTCCCGGGCTGCAACGGAACACTTCTTTCCCAGAAGTTTTCGATCTTCGGCGACGTTCTCAAGGGCCGCTTTCATCTCGATAGAAGTGGGTATCTTCAAGCCTAGGGTCGTCAGGAGCCTCGCGACCAGCTTCGCATTGCAATCATCCTCCACCTGGGCCGGGGTTAAGGGCTTGGGCATCCACCCCCGAAGCAGGAAATCCTAAACCGAGTACGACCGGGGGGGGTATTTGGGGTCCCAAATTTTCAGGGTTTACGGTTTAAGGCTTAGAAATAATGGGTAATAGGGAATATATGGTCCGTATATAAAATTTAAAACGACATCTGAGGCGTGAGGAATCTTCGTGGCGATCTCTAGGTCCGAAAGCCCATAACCCGAAGAACCCTAAGCACCTCATCCCGGCCGATGGTTCCGCCCCGGAGGTTCACGAAGGAAAACACCACCGGAGCCTTTCAGAGGCTTGGGGCAGCATTTACAGGGCTAAGGCTTAACACAGATTTGGGGATTTGTGTTTGGAAGAGGGCCTTCCCCTGCTTCAGCAGCCGTTGCATCTTTTCGGGTCGCACATTCTGCATCTTGCACAGCTCCGTGACCCTTTTCTCCTGGTAGTCATTGGCCTCCAGGATGCCGGTGTAGAGGTCCTGACAGACAAATGGTAGGACCCCCCATAAGGCAAATCACCCTAAAAACCAGCTACCCGATCCCTTGTGCCTGCAAATACCGCACCCGAAGCGACGGAGGCTTGCTCTTCGGCATCCGCAGCACCAGGGCACCAGCAGTGCTGATGCACGGAAAAAAAAGCTCTTGAGCACCAGCAACCGCCCGGAAGCTGCTTTTAGTGAGACATGACATGCACTCAATAAGTCAAGACTGGCCGGGGCAACCGCCCGAGTCCGTCTCATTTTCCACAATCTCATTCTTAATATCCAGACCTTGAGTCCAACAGAAATTAGCATCGATTTCATTTGGAAACCCCTGCCCGAGTAGCTGGGATCACTGCGAGAAAGCAAGGCCTTTTTCATAGCCAATCAGACCGTACCTCAGGATCAGTACTGTCAGTCAATTCCCTGCCAGAATCTTGGGCACCAGCGGAATCTCCTCCATCGGCGCCAGCAGAAATCATCGATCCGTACCTCGCTCCCCGTAGAAATCGCTAGGATGATTACACCTCTAAAGTCGAGATTCTCGGGCACCAGCCCAATAGTTCGGGGATCGGCGCCACGAGAGCCCGCCACAATCCATAAGTACCTGGGTCCAGGAAAGTGCACAGTCGTATTACACAGGAACCGAGACCCTGGGGCACCATCCGACATCAGCGAAGATCGAGGGCACACCCATGGCGAGTCGGATTCAACCCTCACATGAAACCTGTAAGTGCAGGGCTGTTTCTGGAAATTATTACATGCGGGCCGGGACTAGAGGGCCTTGGGGCTGAAATTATTGTTGGAGTTGGGACATGGTGTGGCTTGGGTTTGGAGTCGGGAAGTACTGCTGAACCTGTCATGTGCAGCAACTCACAGCACCCCTCGAAGCCCGAAGTGTATCCCAAAGTCCCGGAATCCCGAAACCCAAATTAGCGTTTCGGGATATAGAGTTTGGGATATTGGGAATTTGGGGGTAGAATCTAGGTCGCTTATTGGCGGGATAAATCGGGGTTGTTTCCATTATGTCGGCGTAGGCTAAAACGGGGTGGTTCACATTGATATTGTGGATTGCTGTGTCGGGGCAAAATAGGGTGGTTTCCATAAAGTTGTGGTTACATGATCTACAACATCAGGTGGGGAAAAGTAGGGGCGCTCGGGGCACAAACCGGGTGGTTCGCAACCACCCCGAAAACTATGGTCGAGGAAGCACAGGGTATATATATCTATTTATACTTATTTATGTATGATGCAGGGCTGCCACACCCGCCCCCCCCCCCCCCCCCCCCCCCACCCACATGGTATCCTCCCCCCCCCCCCCCCCCCCCCCCCCGCCCCTGTGGTGTGGGGCCTGTTGTGGTGGTCGTGGTACTCTTTTTGCCGCGACGTTCTTATGCGTTACTCCTTGTCTTCCTTCTTGCTGTGGCACCGGTGATACTGCTCATGATGTTGTGCTGCTCTAGACCGGGATTTGAGTCGACAATCAGACCATGCGCAACATCATCCGTGTCGTCGTCATCTTCATCATTCGTACCATCAAAAGAACATCTGCCACCATCACCATCGCCATACAACCCTCATAATTCAGCATTGCAATTCATGTCAGATGCTGGAAACTACTGCGCCGATTGCCGCTTTGCGCACACGGCAGGGCATAGTGCGACACCCCCGATCCGCACACCAGGTGAAGGGGCGGGCAGGTGCGGGCCGGGGCGGGCGCAGCAGGGCAGCATGAGGGGTGGGTGGATACCATTGGGGGGAGGGGGAGGGGGGCGGCGGCCCGGGACCCGAGAGCATATGTATGTATGTATATATATATATATATACATACATGTACTAAATAGCAAAGATAAATACGAACATTGTATACACACAGAACGAATAGAATAAAGGGGGTCGATCATGGTACGAGGATACTGTTTATGTTGCAATACACTTGTAAGGGGGATGTACAGAAATTTATTGCTACCTTCGTGTATGGTGATATACGGGACAGCGATATTGGCCAATCCTTCAAACCAAAGCCGTATATTACTCGGGATTGTATGGATTTGAACCCCAAAACAGCACCCACATGTCATGTTGCATCCCACATCCAAAACCGAGTATCAGGGTCTGACATGTTCTGGCCAATCTGTGATGGCATGCCCGAGCTTTGGAGGTTTGACAAAGTGCAAGTGTCACACAAGAAGGGCAGACATGGCAACCGGAAGGAAGTGAATTCCCAAGCCCCAAAACTTCTCTCCACCCTTCATCGCCGGGGAAGATCCAGTTCTGCAAGCTTGCGTAAGAGGACGTGAAAAGCTAAGTTGGACTTCCTTCTGCTTGAAACTCGGTGAGCAATGACTGCCTCTCTTGGGACTTTCCCAAACCCTAGCGTGGCCCCCAAACCAGAGCATGCATGCCCTGAAGCCTATAAGACCTTATGTCTGTCAACTCGGATCTTAGCCTGCGCGGAGCCCAACTGTGCAGCCCTCGAGGTTCAATGCATGCCGCGTGACGTGATGGCAGGAAAAAGCAAGGCCAAAGTAATCACGACCGGTATGATCCAGTACCTTGCTGATGTAGCATGTGGGTTTCGCTTTCGCAACCTGACCCCAGGTCCATGAAAGCTAAACCGTGAAATAGCCTAAGAACATCAACACCACCGCTCCACTAGTTTGAACCCTCCTGTGCTGTTTAGGGTTTATGGTCAAGAGGCATCCAGGCCGGTGTTTCAAACAGCTTAGGATTGGGGGGGACGGGGGCCGGGGGAGAGGTTGTCAGCCTGCTACAAACGTCCGTCCTCAGGGTAGCTACCGGGTGACTGACAATTTTCGTAAGGACTTCCTCGTAAGGACACGTAGCTCCTTCAGCAAAACCTCTAGGAACAACCAGCATTCATCCTATTAACCCGATGCCTCCTCACACATGTTGCATGGTACATATGATGCGGATATGTGTGGCGTACATATACAGACCTACATGCATACATCCACAATACATGCAGGCCTGCTTACCTACCTGCCTACCTACCTACATACATGCACAACACATGCATGTACCTATGCGTGCAAGCACGAATGCATGTATGCATACAGCATACATGCATACATAGACACACGCATACATACAGAGATCCATCCGTCCACCTGTCCACACATTCATCGATCCATACATGCATGCACACATGCATGCAACGGAAACCGAAAAGCTCGAACAGCCCAGCAACTGCTGGACGCCGAACCTCTGCGTGGTGATGTTGAAAAGCCTGGGCGGGGACGACTTCGAACTTTCCCTGGGATTACGATTTAGGGTTAGGGCAGGTTAAGGATTAGTGTGGTTTATTGTTGCATTCATGGGGGGTTGGACAACAGCAACCCAGAACCCTGTTAAGAAACCCCGGATCCTAGGATGGTGTTCCTACGATTCTTACGATTCTTCTAGCCTAGTACTTCGGATATGTCTGGCAATAAAAAAGGACAACTGCTACCCATCTATGATGGCTGAATTACTAAGGCTTGTGGGGTTCAGGAGTTGGAAACCCATGGTGCACCGTTTTCTTCGGGATTATTCGGGATTCAGAAGAAGAGATTTTAGTCGCTCTCGGCTCTCATACTTTCAGAGGCACTCCCACGTCCATGCTACGGTTCAGGGGTTTGTAATTGAGGGAATTGCGGCTTTGAAACTGGACCTTTGAGATGCCTCATCAAGGCGTTGGGATTTGGCAACCTTTCTTTTACAAGGCTGAGCACGCCAGGGGCTTAATTAGGGTCCAGGCGAAAGGAGATAAGACATGTAGCGAGCCATTTCAAGCGTTGTAGAACTCACAAACAGCCCCTACGACATGTACGACTTCAGGCTGGAAAGGCCAAGAAAACGCGACCTTTTGGGTTGAGGGTTTAGATCTACAGGGTTTAGGGTTCAAGTAGGACAATATCGAAACGAAGGGTAGTTGTGCCTTCACTGGCCGAATATCGACACATCGTTTCATGATGTTTCATGCACGCCATGTGATTCCCAAAACCAGAAGGCCCAACCACCAAAAAGCTCTAACATCTGGAGCTTCACGACCTTACAAACCCTAAACCCTCACACCCCAGACCCTAAGCGCCTAAACCAACTCCTGTAAACCGTCAGTGCTTCGACCCGAACCTCACATTCGAACCTTTGACCCCTTTCAGTTAACATCCTTATCCGAGTAAGCCCCTATGTATACATCAACACAACGTCGGGCACAAGCGGCTCGGCCAAGATCATCACCACGATGATGGCCTTCATCGCCGAGTTCACATGCCTTCAGGACTTGAGAGGCTTCAGATGTTGGGTGTAGGGGCTTGGACTGCTTACGGTTCGCCTGAGCCCGATTTCCTAGTGTTCACGATCTTACTACTGCTTCGCCTACTACTGTCAGTACTACTGTTACACCTGCTACTACAACTGCTACTGCTGCTGCTGCTGCTGCTGCTGCTGCTGCTATGGCCGCGTCTACAGGCTCTTCGGGCACTGCGTAGTTTTCATCGCCCCACACAAACCTAAAAAGACTTCTTCGACTAGTGGTTCAGTCCAGGGGTTCCTTATCATAGATGTAGTATACGGGCGGATCACTAGATTGGGGTCCCTTCTAGCCTCCTTTTTTGTATAAGGGTGTCGTACTGTTTGGGGGATCTGAAACGGGACCCTAGAGGACTGCCCATATACACCCCTAAATTCCATTCAAGACTTGGGGTCCTTGTTATAAGCATAACATACGCGAAAACCCTATTCTAGTCTAATTTGGACGCCCCCCCAATACCCGTAAGTCTCCATAGAAACAAACCCTTCTAGACACCAAGATAAGAACCCTAATAGACATTCTAATTTGGAAGTCCGCAACTTGGAAGCAGACTTTCGTGCCTCCCTAAGCCATCTTTCACCACGCGACCATTCTGGATTCCTGATCGGTTTGCGCTTGAGGGTCTGAGGGCTTGAGGTTTAGGCTTGAAGGCTTATAGTTTGGGGCTCGGGGTTCAGTTTGTGTGGTTTAAAGTGTAGGTTTCAAGCTATCTACTTCAGGAATCTTCAGGAGATTAAACTAAACCCGGAACCCTAGACCCTAAAACCGCGAACCCTAAGACCCTCAACCCTAAACCGCAGCGTTGGTTTCGGATTCAACGAGCAGAAATTAAATTACGCGTGGAAACAGAGAGCGTCACAGTAAACAAAAGACGCCTGGCGATAGCTACGGAAATGGTACTGATGTGATGGTGATGGAGATGATGATGGTGATGATGATATTGGCGACGACGACGACGACGAGGATGATGATGCTGTTGTTGATGATGCTGCTGACGACGAAGATGATGACGATAATGGTGATGATGGTGACGATGATGATGATGATGATGAAGATGAAGATGATGATGGTGATGATCATGGTGATGACTGTGATGACACCGATGATGCTAGCAAAGCCAGATATTCGCGATGCCGATGGCCGATGGTGATGCCAGAGGGGGAAAGACTAATTATGTGTACGATCATGAACTACACAGCAATGCAGGGCGATGCACAACAATGATCGTGCGATGCTACGGTGCTACAACAATTGAAAACGCACTAATTAAGAACAACCATGATGAGTTGGATAACGATGATAATGCGAACAGAAATGTTCATTGCATAACACTGGTAACTGATTGGGAGTGTTTGGGGTTTAGAGAATTTAACAGTTTTGAGGCTGAGCGTGCTGGGTGTCTTTTTGACGTTTAGGGTTTGGGGTATTGGGAGACTGGGGTTTAGGGTGGTCCCCAATGCCCTATTCGGAAGCCGAAAAACCGATTTCGGAACGCAAACCCTGAGACCTAGGACCTAAACTGTAAGAGTCACGAATTAAGCATTACGCTGAGTGTTTGAAGACTAAATCCGATGCCGCAACCCTCAACCGTCAAACCGAGTGTCGGCGCAGTCGTCTCCGCTCCATGGCGCAGAAAGCCTTTGCGTGACGTCGGGGGGGACGGGTGGACGCTCCCTTCCCCCAGGGATCCAGTTACTTAAATAATAGGTTACAATGGTGTATAATATATGGTGTGGTTGTCAAAATTATGGTCCCTTTTTGGGGCACCCTATATAATAGGTGCCGTGTCATAATAGGGATCCCAAAACGGACCCTTATTCTGACAACCACCCATATTTGGTTAGTAACCTACCATTTGGGTAACTGGAGCCCTCGGGTTCTCTAAACTCGAGGCAGCGTAGCTCTGGATCTGCAGACAGAAAGCAAGGAAGCGCTTGTCAGTAAGAGCTTTGGGGGCGCCAGGGTTTTTACGGTTTAAACATAACGCTTAGGTTTCCGCAGTCCAGGAAAGCTTCATAGCAACGGGTGGAGCCTCGCATTCGCTGCCATCCTTGTACCCGTAATCTGCATCACCCGTCAGCAAGCAGACAGTGCTTTGGCTGAAGGGATTTAAAGCTTAGGGTTTCGGATTTTAGGTTTAGGATTTAAGGCTCCCAGCAAAGGGTTACAAGGTTGCGGGATCTGGCTATACAGGGTTTTACGAGGGTTCATGTGCCTGTATAGTACTTGACCCATTGCTCCGTTCTTGGAAATTTCTGCAGACAAGGTATTTTTATAGAGATCCCAAGGCTTCGACAAGGAGGGTGCATGAAAAGGTCACCCCGTCTTCTGACACAACCTCCCCCCTGAATCAACATGTTGAACTATTCGCTCGTAAACGCTTTGCTTGGCGGCTGATTAAGCGGAAACATGTTTGACTGGCACACAGACAGACAACCCCGTAACCTCAGGACCTAGACCCAGGCCACATTCTCTTCAGTTTAGATCGCATTCCGGATGTCGTGGACAAATTCGTAACGGGATGCTTTCGAAAGCTAACGCTCAGTTGGAGTGAGGAGTGCAAGATACCGGCACGAAAACACTACATAATCTCTCAACGCCAGTATTAACTATTCACGCTTCTACATTCACATATGATCAATAGGGTGAATGGGCTCAGGCTTCCATCCAGAATCCAAGACTTCCCTGAGCCGTGCACCTCGAGGACGCCGTTTCTCTCGGCGCTGGGCTGACAGCAAATGGGGGCTGTCGAAAGTCCACAACATTGCCGCATGCTAGTCATGTAGCTTTATTTTGGCATAATAGCAATGACTTCCTTCGGGCTGTGTGCTGTGCAAAGTTTCTAGGTCAAACAAGCACAGACGGAGCTGGAAGCTGAAGCAATCCTAGTTGAAACAGTGATGCCTACTGCAGAAACGAAGACACAGAAGGCAATATGCACGTATTCTCCTACCGTTGCCACCCGCTACATTTGCGTCGCACCGCGCCACATTGCGTCATAAAGCTGCCAGCATCCCATATACTGGACTCATATACTTGATAAGAAGATGGCTCGGTTCTGGAACCAGGAGTATTTGGACGCACTAGCTGACCCCTCAGACCTGAACCTTAAATCGAATAAGTCGAAATCCGTGAAACCCACCTGGTGATCCATGCTGTCACAGCTCGAGCAGTCGTCTTCGGTTGACTCATCGGAAGAGACACGAGCAACCTGAGTTGAAACCGGGAGGGGATTAGAGCTGAGGTTTGAGGGCCGAGGCTGACGGGCTCTGCAAAGGCGAGCAGTGTCGGGGAATATGCTTCGGCTGAGATGCCCGGAATCTGCGCTTTGTGTTTGGCCGTGGCAAAACAGGCACAACATTATTTCAGAATCGGGATATTTGGGCTATCTAATACGAGAAATGTAGCAAGAAACCTTGAGGAAACATGAGGTTGTGCAAGGGTTTAGGTTAACCCTCAAACCACACACACCGCAGGCACAGGCTACTTATTTTACTCACCTCGTGCCAAAAGGGGCTACCAAGTACAGCTATACAACGGCAGTAGTCAGAACATGCTTTATATCCTGACACCCCTCCATGGCCAGCTGAATCCTTGAGCTGGACAGCTGACCTGCACTACTCACGGGTTGCAGTCTGTACAAGGACCAAAGCCTCTTTGCGTAGCCTCAGCCCTCTGCAACGTGTACGGGTTTTGGCCCAGGTGTCTACAGTGTCTCCTATGAAACTTCTTGCCCTTACGGGTGACGTAGACGGGGCTACCCGCATTCGCCTCTAGACCTCGTCGGTCCACGCGGCCTCCAGCTGTAGGGGCCGGCTTCGTTGAAACACGTGGCGTGGTCCACCACACAAACGCAAACTTGATCCATCGCCAAATGGTCTGGATCGCCAAGATATGGATGATCAGCATGTAGATGAAGAAGGAAACGTCTTCAGTCTCGAGCTGGCGCTCCTTCGGCTGCCCCGTAGCCACGCCAAAGGACGCGAACAGGCACGCCATGACCAAGCCCCTTGTGAGAGGCATGCCCTTGACTAGCTCTGTCACTCTTGAGCCTGAAAGAGCTTTCGTGCCCAAGTCGGCCCAGTTACTCTTCGTAGGTTCCTTCTGCACCGTAAGCTGCTTTCTCTGAACACAGTCCTGTATCCAAAGCTCCTTCATGGACAAGTGCTTCACCTTGCCCGAGCCCTTGCGTGTCGCGATTCCCTTCGCTGCGCTCGAATCGGTTCTCAGGGTAAGCTTCAAACCCTTAAACCCAATCCGTTCCCAGATCTGCGCTGTCAGCAGTCCGGCGGCAGCTCCTCGCACCAACGCGTAAAACTCAGCCTCTCCAGAGCTGAGCGCTATCACCGATTGCTTGGCACACGAAGCATCGATGAGATGCTTCCCAAATCTCTCAGCGTAGCTGGACATAGACTTGCGCGTGCGCTTGCACGCTCCCCAGTCCGAGTCCGTAAGCACCACAGCTTCCTCAGGCTGCTCCTGGTACTCGTAGTGCCAAACTTCCTTCGGGTACTTCAGAAGGTAACGGCCTAGGTGCTTGAGCTTGAGCTCGTGCTCAACCGTAGGCTTTGCCATGCCAGAGGTGATCTCCGACAAGGCATACTGGATCGTCGGGCGATCCTGGGACAGGTAAAGCGCAGTACCAGCGAGTCTCCGGAACTTCGCTGCAGCCTCAGCGTCCAAAGGATCTTCGAGATCCCTGCGGCCTTTCCCACATTCCGTAGAACATGGGGCGTCTGCGCTCTTAGCGTCCGTAAGCCCGAGCTCCTCAACGATCTGCCGCGAGTACTTAGGATCAGCTTCCCAAGTGAACCCGCGCTCGCTCCATCGAATGATGCGGTGCAGATGATCGCCATGCGTGGTCTGGCCTCCAAACTCCTCAGGGCCAATCCGTGGCAATATCTTGCTCTCAAAGGATTGCATCATCAGCGCATCCAGTCGATCCAGATCGTCGCTTTCGCCCTCAGCGATAAAGTCGTCGCCGTGGCAGCTCAAGGTCACGCACCACTCGTCGTGGTAGAAGAGGCCAGGGATTCCTGGAACCTCCCAGAAACCTGCCTCCGTCATGACCTCACACACGCGCTTTGACCACTGTCGCGAAGCCTCACGTGTGCCATTCATGGCTTTGAGCAAGTACCAGAGCTTTGATTGATCGAGATCTTTCGGAGGGACGACCGCAATTTTGCCCGTGGCCACCGCATGAAAGAAGGCAACAGAAACATCATACCGGGCAATAAGCTTGCGCCGGTTGGTCCTGCCAGCCTTTGCAGTGGCTGCAGCTGAAAGTACCATGCGGTGCGTCCGCAACGGCGGTGTTCCACTGAAAACGTCGTCGCGCTCGTGGTCGTTGATCTCTTGGGCTACGCAGCGGCTGCGCACCCCATTTGGATCATTGGGCAATGGTTTCCAACCATCCACCCACCGGCTTCGGACTATCTTTAGCCCCTGCCGTCGCGCTTCCTCCCAAGAGATGTCCTTCTTGACAGAGTGTTCCTCCATCTTGTCCAGCTCGCGCCCTCTTGCAGTCTTGACCTTGTCAACGGGAAGGGGCTGGCCTGTTCGCTCGTCGTAGGCACCAAGCTCCTCCACTCTGCCGTCCAGAGGGTAAGCAAACAAAGGCTCCCACTCGACTTTCTCGTGGAGCGTGGGCAGTCCCCCCATCAACTCCTGGTCCTCAAGAGGACGCTTTTCACCTCTTGCTTCTGGCGTCTTCTGCTTCTTCGCTCCTTGTGAGCTCTTTCCAGTAACGCGGCGCTGCCCGCTGTCATTTGAAGGAGCGGGGACACCCGCATCCTCAACCTCTCGCTTCTGGCCTGACTTAGCCTCAGAGGTCCCCTCCATGGCCCTTGGCCTTGAAGGCTGACTCGGCTCGGTGCTTCCCGACTCCAAGTCTTGGCCGGTGCCCTGGGGCATCTCGGCCTGACCTCCTTCAGTCTCCATGGGTCCCGCAGGCGTCCCAGGGACTGGTGTACCAGGCGTTCCTGGCACCGGTTGCCTCGGGTACAACTTCTCGAACCTCTTACGGCACTCGTCGTTGTGCCGCTTTGGGTTGTCATCGTCACACTCACAGCCAGGACATCCGGGTGTCTTGCCGTGCTTGATCTGACGCTCCAAGGTGATATACACCGAGGGCTGCCTGCGACCTGGAGTCGCTGGGGCCTTGTTGTCTGAAGGCACGGTGGTTGGCTCTCCGCGCGGTTGCCAGGGAAGCCCAACCATCCCCTCGAGGTGTTTCAGCTCCCACCTCTTCTCTTCTGGCCTTCGCCAGATGCTTCTGCACCGACGGATCCCCTGAGCAGTGCCCAGGAAGTGCTCGTCGGAGGCAAGAGACTTGCCTAGCCAAACTCCAACTGACGTTTGCTTGTCCAGCTTGCCAGTCTTCTCTTTGTCAAGCTTGTAGTGCACGACCTCGCAGCACTCAGCAACTTCACCGCGGAAGTCCCGGCCTCGAAGCCTTTCGTAAGGTGTTCTCCCGTCCTGCTTCACCAAGAAACGGGAGATGAGCCACCCTGCGTGCCGCACCAACCACGGAAAGACAACCCCCTCAGTCTCCAGGGGCTTCTTGTAGCGATTCTCCAGCGCGCTCGCAAGAGTTCGCACCTGACGCGCCAGCTCCAAAATGGCTC